GAAATTCCAGTTAAGCTTCATACATTTCTTTAAATTTTTTGGTCTTCCAGAACCCCCCACCCCCCAGGAAATTCCAATCCCTTCTGTGGGCGGAGTATGGATATTTTCTGAAACTGCACAATCCCATCCAATTCTATTCTTTTTTCCATGCTTTAGTTTTGCAACTACTGAATTTCTGTACTTAACTACAACAATCTCTCATATCTTTAAACATGACCTGACTGTTCATAAACTGCATTTTCTTGGCAGGAGAGTAAAGGAAGTTCTTCAAAAGCGATTGAAGAACCACATCAAGAAAGCAAAATTAGTGCAAGCTAAACTGGCCGAGGAAAAGAGGATGAATGAAGTTCATTTTTACTGTGTTATAGATTTTCAGGCAACTTGTGAGGAAGATAATCCAAAGGACTACATTCATGAGATAATAGAGTTTCCTGCTGTACTCGTGGATGCGACTACTCTAGAAGTGGTAAGTGAATTGCTGAGGCATTAGCTAAACTGTGCACTGTCAATTTAGCCGCACAATGACGGCTTGTCCCGAAAATTTGAAATGGGAAAAATAGTTGGAAGGATTTTATTCCTATATGTTTCCCTCGTGAGTGATTTATCACCTCAAAATACTACTAATAATAGCTTTGTATTTTGTAGCAATGTATGTGTTAGAAAATATGTATTAATACCCGGCCTGGTCAATCGATGACAATCGTTGATCGGAAATCCCAGCGATCAATCGATATCAATTGAGGACAATTGTTTAAATGTTATCAATTGCTATCGGCCAATCGATGACCAATCAATAATCACAAGCTCATGTCCTCTAATTGCTATTGATTGCTATCGATTGCCATCAGTTGGCATCGCCTTTTTATTTACTTTTGCTCAATGTCCCGCTGATTTGTAATCGATCTTTGCGTTCCGCTCGCAGCTAATGATAACGTGTCTCGGGTGTCTGGCGACTTCTAGTCTTCTGCCGAAAAAACCAGGAAATAACCTTCTGTCAAGTTTTTTTTGAACATCTACTAGTCCCTTTTACAGTCAAAGGAGATGAGAGACACGAACGTGGGGAGTAGAAGTAACTGGCGTAGCGCTTATTGCGTTAGTAACTTCTTTGGCAAGTCCAGATACGATACGTATTTTGTATACCCACAGAAGAAATATGGAAGTCGATGAAATTGCTGGTTGATGACAATCGATGGGAATCAATAACAATCGATGATAATCGATGGCAATCGAAAAACACAAAATCTTTGTTCATCAATTGGTAATCGATTTCCGATATCAATCGATTAAATTGTTATCGATTGTTATCAGTTGCTATCGATTGTTATCGATTATCAGTTTCATGGATTGATCAGGCCGGGATTAATATGGGAAATGTATTTTGAAAATATACTAGCCAAATACAGTCAAACTCTCACTTCAAGAGTGATAATGGCTACAACAACGTTGTATAAATCTGTATTTTAGATGGACTAACAGTAATTGTATGTCTATTAATTAATGCCTAGTAATAATCATCGTCTGTCCATTTCATGCCATTCCAACTGGTCCAGTCATATGCCCTCTTTGGGCCTCTCTCCACGACAGATGAGCTGAAGCCAGCTCTTTCATTACAATACCTAATAGCAGAGCTCTGGCAAGCAGAGCACCAAAACTATAGGAAGAGAACCACATGCACGCCTAGGAATAGAAACCCATGAACGTCTTTTTTCATGGTCAACATGGATCATGATCACGGGTGCCCTACGACGACGAAAATGATGACCACCTCACGTAACATGGTGGCCATACTCCAGCTAATAGGTCAACCAAGTCACGAAGCCGGGGTTTACACTATACATCTTTTATATTGGTCATCTATGTTACGGTCAATTGACACCTGTCAAAGCAAGGTATTTGCTGACCAGTGTCACGTGACCATATTGCAGGCTCATGTTTAGAGCTCAACGAGATCGCATGTTTTTTGAAGTTGACCGCTGACCAAGTGTAGTTTTTCGATTGGATTGAAACAGAAGGCCAAACAATATAAACAGAAAACCACCACAAAGTTACAAACTCAAATCAAAATTCTTGCTTATCCTGGGTTAGTTTAATCAGACTTTAAACAACCCAGCCCAGGAGCTCCGCCTTTAGGCTTGGCTAAATCTATTTAACAAATAGATTCAATGTTGCCGTGCGTCTGTTCAGTAATAGATGACAGAAGACGTCAAAATGTGGTAAGAACATCAGTGACACACTCGGCTATCGCCTTGTGTGGCACTTTTTTGTTGTTACCACATTTTGGTGTCATCTGTGATCTATTACTGAACAGACGCACAGCAACACTGAATCTATTTGTTTTATATGATAACGAAACAAACTATACAGATAAAGCCTTTTTTTATTTCAAAATCTTTCAACATAACTCGAAAGCCGGCCTTTGCCCACTTTGGCGAACACAAAAAACACCATTTGACGTAATCTATTGTCTATACAAAATGAAGCAATTTCATTGGTTGCTGTGCGTAGCAAAGAACTGTGATTGGCCCAGGAAAATCACGCCACTGTCAAACTTGACTCGAGCATCGCTTCTCGTGGAATGAAACTTACAGCGAAAGCAGAACTGAACTGTGAAATCTACAAATCTTACAGAAAATGCTGGAAAAGCCAAGTCAGTTTTTGTCATGCGAGCAGCCCTGTGAGCCAAAAACCTTGGACGTTGTCTTGGAGTTGAAAAAATACGCTCAGAAAACTTGCGGTTGCAGACAATCTGGAGGCTATTCGATTCGAGTTTTGAATGAAAGGAGTGTTAGTGACGATGGAAATTTGTGTCCTCTGTGGTTGGTGATTCTCTAATCAGTTTGAAATAGTGTCGGAGACACCTTTTAGCTGCAATGCAGTTGGCCGTGAGCTGTAGTGAGCTATACTTTGCTTTCTACTGTGCCCTAAAACGGACTAGGGCATTTGCATCGCAAAGCAAGGTTATGTGTGAATTGTAACTGATTTCAAGAGGTGATGTTTTGATGTTTCATTCCTGACATCAATCTGTTTGTCAGCAGCTATTTTGAGACTGAAAAAAGTTGAATTTTTTAAATAAATTAATCTCATAAACATTTTGTTCATTGGGTTTGTTAAATTCGAGACAAAGCCATGGTTCTCGGCTTACCAAGACCAATTTTGTGCTTAGTTTAGTCTCGCTTGACTGTCGACTGAGACTGCTGGAGTATTTTTCCTGAGTCATTTTCTAAAAAAGAAAGGGCTTTATCTTTCTTCTTCTTGCTTCTCGTACCTGTTCAATGCCTCAACAACTTTTTTGTACCTTATCTTTTGCCCAGTCACGTAAAATATTATCTAAATTCTCAAAACTTTCCGCCACTTTAAAACACAGACGGAAAAACTTTGTAATAATGACATCAATCATGCGTCTGTCCTCCAATAGATCATAGGCGAGAACCAATCAAAATGCAAGAATAACCTGGGTAATTATATAAATATTATTAGTATATATCTACTAGCGTTCTATCACGAATGCCATTTGCTGATTGGCTACACTACTTACTATTCTGTGAAAGGTAGTGAGTAGCAGTGTGCAGTTGTTATCAAAATGACGGCAGATTCTTTCTATTTTCAAAGTGTCTGTTAAGGGGATTTAGAAAAAGTTTCGAACGACTAGTAGATTTATACTAAAACAATTAGATTATTCGCTCTTGATTTCTATGCGTGATAGTTGACTCGGGCTGTGCCCTCATCAACTATCATGCAATAGAAATCTTGAGCTCATAATCTAATTGTTTAATAGACATGTAAAAAAATGGTTGCAGAGCATAGAACTACAGTTAGAGAAGTACCAAATACTCTGTGGAAGGAATTGGAGGACTGACTTAGAAAATCAGCTTGGTCAATGTCTTTTGAATTAACTGATACATGTTTCTAAGGGCTTTTCTGTGAAGCAATGACCTGTTCTGAAGTATGGGAGGCAAGGCAACCTCGTGGTAAACCTAGTTGTTGAACTCCAGATCGAGTGGTCTGAATTCAAGCCCTGGCCAGGGTCATTGTGTTGAGTCCTTGGGCAAGACACTTAACTCAAACAGTGCCTGACCTCACCCAGGTGTATAAATTGGTGCCAGCAAATTGAATGCTTACCCTGTTATGGACTAGCATTCCATCCAGGTGTAGTAGGAATACTCCTAGTTACATCCTTCTATGAAACTGGAGATAAGCACCGGCTGTTTAGTACATGTACCAGTTGGTAAGAGGAACTCTCCTAATCAGCAGATAATGTGTCTCTGTCGACACAATAGAATGAAGGGTTAGAGAGGTACGCTAATTCCCAATAAAGGCCTTGCACCTAAGGCAATGTTGCTTACGTTATTTGGAGATCACTCCTGCCATATGAAATCCCAGGTGGTCTAAAAATGGCCAATCCTGTGATTTAAATGTCCCTCATGTGGACAGTCGAAGTGGCTTTACACACCTTTTCATCCTCCAAGAAATCATCTATGCAATGGCACATGGTAACATCAACACTAACTGCTTACCATGTCTGAAAATAACTTGAGAGCTATTACCTTGAGAATACAGCCTACACGGGGGATTTACTCTCTTACCCTTTAGATATCATCCCTTGGTCTTGGTCAGTAAATTGCTGTTCAGAGATTTATATCCTTACACTGACACTTGAATACGTTCATTAGAGTTTCAAGTTGTTGCTTGACTGTTGATTGCAGTTGATTGGCTGTTGTTGCTCCATTGTTCAGAGATTTATTCCTTGTACTGATACTTGAATAGGTTCATTAGAGTTTCAACTTGTTGCTTGATTAGGTTACATTGCTTTTTATCCATCTAAATGTATAGTAGGCTAAGGGCTCCATGAGTAGGTTAAGAGTTTCATATGTGACTTTTTTTTCAAGAGAAGGGGGCTGGTGATTATTCATTCATTTCTGCACATAGCAGGCATTCTAATCTTCCTGATTTTATAGGATTTTTCAGAATTTATTTTCTCGATTTCTAAACAACTGTCTCTATTCCTGGAAAAGTACTTCTAATAGTAAAGCCTCTTACGCTCAGCTAGCTCACAGCTGTCTGGCAGTGCTTAATTCCGGTTTCAGTAGCATGAAGTGGCTAGAAGTTTTGCTACTCCCCCTGGATAGCTCGCTGCATGTAGTCTGTCACAGGGTTATCGTCAGCATTTTGTCAGGCTGCCCCAACAACTCACTGGTACCCATTTGTACACCTGGCTGGAAAGTAAGCCCTTTTTTCACCACTGGTACAGCTACTTACACAATTTACAACAGTAATCCACTACTAAAATCCGTTACATTACTAACAAAACTTGTTATACAGTGCGATTAAACTTACGCACTATTGTACTAACACTACTTAGAATACGATACGATTACAGACGCTACCTACAATACTACAACTTGCATAAACTTACTCTGCAACACAATACGATTACTTATTACATGCATACTTCATTGGCTTGTCCCCACGGGACAAACCAATACTTACTTGCGATACTAATACTTACACTGCTCAAAATATAATTTGATTAGTGATGCTACTAACAGATAATTATAAATATAAGTTAGCTCAATTTCCACCACTCTCTCGAGTCCAGTCTACGTTCTTCCCAGGCTCCTTTCCCCAACAGCAGCTGGTAATGAAGCCTAGATAGAGAGAGGCACTGTGAGAGTCAAGTGTCTTGCGTAAGAACACAACACAATGTCCCCAGCCAGGGCTCAAACCCAGGGCCAGTTGATCCAGAGTGCAGTGAACTAACCGTTAGGTCATTATGCCTCCCTCTGCAGTATAAGGCTAAAATTTATGGGCTCCAACCTTCTGTTGAACGCCTCTGGTCATATACTTATATTTCAGGTATCAGAGTTTCACGAGTACTGTAAACCACACTGTAAAACACAACTTTCAGAGTTTTGTCAAGAACT